AGGTGGGCCTAATGACCTGAGTAGGTACAAAGCAGTTCCTCTATGAGGAAAGAACAGGAATAAAGACAGCAATAAAGACAGGAACTAAAGCAGAACAGCCAAGGACACAGCATGCTTTTTTAACACAGCCATTCTCCAGGAGGCATTCTTCCTTTGAAGTTTTCTCAGCCTCGACCCACGGAGAGTACCTCACGCAGGCTCCGCTGGAGGTGGCGTGACACCTCTAAACTTGTGTTTAGACTCAATGTTCCTTCAAAAACTAGAAGTATTTTATTAGTATGCAGTCATCTAGTCTGCAACATAGGGTTGAAGTAACATAAACATACAACTTCTGTTCATCAAAGAAAGCAATCAGTAAAATAAAAGGGTAATCTACAAAAAAAAGGGGAGGGGACAACTGCAAATCATCTATGATAAGTGTTTAATATCCACAATGTACTAAAGAACTTCAATAACTCAAGAATAAAAACCCCAAATAACCCAATTTTTAAGTGAGCAAAGGACTTGAATGGACATTTCTCCAAAGCAGGTACACAAAGGGCCAGTAAGCACATGAAAAGATACTCAACACCATTATTATGGAAATGCACGTCAAAATCACAATAAGCTATCACAGCATATACATAATGATAGCCGCTATCTGAAGAGAAAAAAAGCCAGATGTGGTGGTACAAGCCTTCAATCCTGGTTGGGAGGCAGAGGCAGGCAGGATCTCTGTGAGTTTGAAGTCAGCCTGGTCTATGTAACTAGTTCCAGGCCAGTCAGGGCTACACAGTGAGATTCTATCGCAAAGACCAGAAAAGTAACAATGACAAAAAAAAAAAAAAAAACAAAATGTGAAGATTGGAATCCCTTGTGTAACATGGTACAGCCAGTAAAACTAGAATTACCATATGATCTAGAAATTCTACCTCTGGGTAGGTATCTGTAAGATTTCAAAACAAGATCTCAAAGGTATATTGGTATATCCATGCTCGCTGCATTATTTCCAATAGCCAAGAGGAGGAAGCAACCAAAATGTTCAGTGACAGATGAACTGGTAAAGGAAATGAGATACAGTGGAATTAAGAAATCCTGCTACATGCACAATGTGGATGAAGCTTGAAAACATTATGCTAAGTGAAATAAGCAAGTCTAACATATGGGTTCAGATCCCAGGAACTTACACTGAACGAAAAAAAGCCAGATGTGGTAATGCACATATGTAATCCCATTATTCCTCCTGCAAGATAGGAGGCAGGAAAAGGAGAATTCCTCAGCTCACAAGCCAGACAGCCAACTCCCAAAAGTTGTCCTTTGACTTCCACATACAAGTGGCATACATGTGCCTGAACTCTCATACATATCATACACACACACACACACACACACACACACACACACACGCATGCATGGCACAAACATACACGAGAGAGATGGAGGGCTGGGAATAAGGATCAGGAGTAGAGTAGTGCTTGCCTAGCATATACTAGATCTTGAGTTCAATTCCCAGCATCACAAAAATAAACATCTTGAGAAAAAAATTCTGTTAATTTTATGTGATTCATGTATTTCAAAATAGTTATCTTTCAGAAGGTAAACACATAAAATATGCATTTTCCAGAGCACATGGGCTTCCCTCAGCCCCCTACACATTTTTTAATGGAA